CAATACAAACACTTAAACGTTTTTTAGACGTTTAGGTAGCTCCCAGTAGAAAAATATCAATTCAACAGCGGCCTTTTAAAGCATTCTCACTTCAATTAATTAATTAATTCCTAATTGAGTTTAAATTAAATATTGTCATGTTTTTAGTGCATGAATCTGAATTGAACAACCTGATAATGTACAGTTATGAAATTTTTATCTGGTTGCTCACTACGTGCTCTTGCGCGCCGAATCCAATCAATTAAAAATGAAAACTGTTGCCAGCGCGAGAAAAGAAATATCATTGGTTTTATTGATACATACATTACGTATTAGCGTTTTATATAATATAGATAGATACAGTCGATGTGATCTTTGGCAATGCATTTCACTGGCCAGCGCATCATAATTGGAAGAATATGATGAAATTCCTGCTCGCAAGCAATCGTCAAGGTGTTCATCTGTAAGTCGTGATCTATATTTTGATTTTATGATATTCACTGTCGAAAACAATGATCCACATAAGTATGGTGGAACCAAAAAACGACTTTATTTTATATGCTGCTCTTTTTGAGAATGTGTTTCTGTCAACTATATTCCAGAATTTCTCATTCGATGCAATAGTTTTGAGGGTAATTTCATTCTGAAGATCCAACATTTCTATCTCCACTTCTTCTCGCCTTACTTGAAGAAATTCTGAAATGTTGCTATTTCGGTTACGTTTATTTGGTTGGTAAAAGGATTTACAAAAAAGGTGACCATAGGCTCGATGATATTAAATTGTAGAAACCGCTTTTCAAATTGATCTTGAAGCAATTGGAGGTTAATAACTAGTGTTGATAAGTCAATTTCACTGTCGCCTATCCCTTTTTTCATGTTTGGAAAATGCGCAAGTGACTTCATTTTCAAATGTGATATCCACAAAACTAACTTAGCTTTGAACGAGTTTATAGGTCATTCTTGTTATATGCTTGTCCTTTCCCTGCAGCTCCAAGTTTAAATTATTTAGTTTATCCAAGACAAATCTGCTAGCCAAAGAGGATCTCTTAGTTCCAAAAATATTTGATTTTTGGCTGCAAGTTAATTTTTTTTGTTTCTTCAATTAAATGCATAACTCTATCAAGTACTTTGCCTTTACTGAGCCAGCGTACTTCAGTATGTAAAATGAGGCCAGCTTCATCAGGATCTTGTAAAGTCAATGTTGCAAAGGAGCTGTTCGAATTAAGTTGACTATTTCGGTAATAATTTTCATTACTATATTTACAATATTTTTAGTATTTTTCAATACAATATTTTTAGTAGATCTTCTTTTACTGTAAAATCAATAAATACCATTCTCCCCATAACTGCTAACTGTGATATGTCTGTAGACTCGTCAAACTGTAGTAAGAATCCCTCACCTCTCACATATATCCAAATAACTCTTCTACTGCTTTTGCATATCTTTTGAAATGGCGCCTATTCTTCTTGTAACAGAATTATCTGATGACTATAAGTCTTGTATTACTGACATGGTTTCACGATTGTTGGAAACTCCCTCAAATAAGCAATCAGCACCAGTAAGCAATGTTTTTTTTAACAACTCACCATCCTGGAAAGGCTTTTTCTGCTTTGCGAGCACATGATAAATTTTTAAAGAAGCAGTAGAGGGAGTTTTAGATTTTATCTTAGTACTTGTGAAAAGTGACTGTTGAACCGAAAAATTTGATTTTAACTGCTCTATTTTCTTTTTTCGAATTGCAGTTATAAGTGGATAGCTCGCATTAAAAGTAGAATGAACTGTTTGGAAATGACGTTCAACATTATGTTTTTTCGGCACAACAACACTATTTCCACATAACAACCAAATACTTTTATCTCTTAAATTGACGAAGCAATATGATTCCACTATTCGGAATTAAAATTATAGGTACGTTGTCTTTTGCTTGATCCACTCATTTTAGTGTAAACACACGCAAAGGAAGTATTTAAAAATAATAAAGTAGTAAACTCTGTATACAAAAAATATGAAAAAAGAAACCATGAATCGAAAAAGAAGTAGACAAAATGAATGAACGTAATTTCAGTGTGATTTTCTCGAGACGAGTTTCGGAAAAACGCCTTCGTAGTACGGCAACTATAAAAATGAACCAATTCAATTTATTTCAGGTGTGGAAAATTAGTGGATTTTGGTTGAGTTTATCATCAATATTGAAAAAGTAAAAAAATTTGCATAGCATTTTATGGGAAAATGGAAAATTGAGATATTTTATCGTTGGGCACAAGTAGCGGGCGCACCTATAGACCGATCGACGGCAACATAGGGTTAGGGACCCCTGATTTACAGTATTGGTGCAGCTGTAATCGGCATCAAATTTACTCACAGAACACTTTGTACCGATATAAGAATATGTTTTGTACCATTTAAAACTGTAGCAATTACCATAATGGCAGTAGTACCTACTACCAAAATTGAACAACAATATTAGCAACGCGACTTTTCACGGAGTTTTTAAGGAATCTCCTTAACGAATAAGTTAATTTTTTTTCATTAATTTTGTTTTTATTTCATATTAGTACTTATTACCAAAATTAATTAAGCCAATTATATACCAAAATTATTTGTGCGCATAAGATTTTTTACCCTCTTTTAAACGAATTTTTAACATTTCTCCATTGATTTTGCCTTTTAGTACATAGCTTATTATTTTACTTCAATTAGTAAATATTAAAAATAATTATTATCATTGACATCAATATATAGATTGGAGCTCTTTACGTGTAATTAGTACCATTACGCCATTAATTTTGCTTTTCAGAACAAATTATCTCTTTTATTTCAATGACCGTTGATTCTTAATAATTTAGATTTACAGTAAAAAGCTTACAAAAACAAAACTATAAACAAAATAATAATGTAGCTTCAGATAACCTAAGGAATACTACTTTGGTGACGTAGTCTGCCTATGTTATCATGATCACGTTCATTATATTCAAGCAACCTGACATAACGAATAAAAAGTAATTAAGTAATACAACTAAGTTATACTAAAATTTATTGTCAATCAACATTTTGACCGCTACTTGACTTGCTACAGCATTCAAAGTTTTACTGGAATTTTGTGCTAGAAGACAAAACAAGCTGCAATTATTTTCCGTCCATAGGAATATTTAAAATTGAATTGGCTCCCTCTTTGTAGCCTGTTAAATTATATACATAGTATCCCCAAAAGGAATTTATATCGTCAATGGATTATTTAAAACCGAAAAGGTGCTTCTTTGTAGAATAATAAGTTGTATACATATTATTCCCAAAAATGAATTTATATCATCGATCCATATTTCCAGTTTTTTCCGACTATTGGAATATTTAAAACTGAATTAATGCCCTTTTGCCGAATGATAAATTATCCCCAACAATGAATTCATAATGCCAATCTATATTTCTAGCATTTACCGTCTATTTTAATATTTAAAACTGAAATGGAATGGAATTGTAGAATAAGTTTTATCCATATTACCTTAAAAAGAGATCCTTATCTATCCATTACTTGGAATGTTTAAAACCGAATAAGTGACTTTTGCTGAAGTATAAGTTAAATTCAAATTCTAAAGAGTAAAAACAAAATTTATCGCCAATTGAAATTTTGCCTACTTTCTGACATAATCTAGCAGACATTATGAACATAAAAAAATAAGTGAAAAAAGTAGTAAAATTTTATAAAATATTTATTTCAGATAAAAAAAATTAAAAAAAAAAAAACTAAAATGGAGAAAATAATTTTATTTTGGTCTGATCTAAAACAAACAATGAAGTGTCTAATATAATTTTATAACTAATAAGAACTTTTTTTACACTTTCGCAAGTCAAGCACCCTACTTTTTTTTTCTGTCAAAAATATAATTATTTCTTCTTTATTTAGTCTATTTGAAATTCTATTCTTCTTTTCTGAATTTTTTTAAAAATAACATTTCCACAAAGAGGAAGAAAAGATTGGCTAGTTTAATGAAATTTGTTAATATGCCGTACAAAATGAAGATGAATGGAATACAGAATCACCAGAAGGATAAATTAAATTCATGAATCTGTTTTCTGTCATTTTAAAATTAGGTGTCAAGACCAGATGCTGCGTTAAGCTTTATTCCTATGATTACAATTCATATGTAAAGCATATCAAACCACAGGTGTTTCTTTAGGAAATCAAATAATAGAATAGTTAAGTATAAGTATATGGACTAAAATAAGATTCAGTCAGTTACTTATAAATCCTCTATTTCTTTCCTGCATAAGGTAAGTATCTATTAGTATCTAAACAGTCAAGTAAGGATACAGTTTTTCATAATTATCAACCATGGTTTTGGGTTCTGATGAAAATTATTCAGAGACGGGTAAAGCGTTGATGCGTTTGACGAGGGAGATGACCCTAGAAGAGCAAGGAGCGAATTGCAAAAAAATTGAAAAAGGTCAGAATTATATGGACGCGACAGTTGCTATAGCAGGCGTTGCATTAGGAGTGGCTGCCTTGTTTACCATGCCATTGCTAATCGTGGTCTCCTCCTCGCTTTTAGTTAATGTATTGATTGCCAAGGCTTTAACAGCAGACGAGAACATTGAGAGAGAATGTGCTGATCTCCCTTTTAAAGAGTTGGACGAAAAAATGAAAGCTAGACAAGAAGAACAAGATAGAAAAATTGCAGAACAAACTGAAATTTTGAAAGAAGTAAGTGAAAAAGTAGGCCAAACTCTAGACAAAATCGAAGATGTTAGAAAGGAAATGGGCGATAGCTTCCAGAGGGTATTAAATAAAATAGGGGATGTAGATGCCAGTAATCCAGTCTCCGAAATAAAAACTGCGATCGAATCCATTTCATTTGGGGAAGAGAACAAAAGATTAGCGACTCCTGAGCGTTATGTTTATATCATTCAGCAAGAAGTGGCAAAAAATTCGGATTCATCTCTTTACAATTACATTGGACTTCAAGGTAGTCTGTATAAGGCCATTTTTGCAGTGATTAACAAGAAGAATACCATTAAATCGAACATTGCCCTTCCGGGACTCAACATTGGAGTTACAACCTACGCATCGACCGTCATTACTCTAATTCAGCAGCTACGTTACATGTCTGAATATGTTTACCAAAAGGGTGATTTGAAAAAGTTCAACAACTATTTCAATCGTCTTATTTTTGATTTTAACTATTTCAAACTAATAGTTAATGGTTCCTCTAAAAAGCAAGGTATAATCGACCAAGTTACTCAGATGTTGAACGAAGCAAAAAAAAGCAAAAGCAAGCAAGATCTTGGCGAAGAATTGTTTGAAAATATTGGAACATACATCACCCAACTTAATCAATTAAAGCAAAAGATTGCAGCACTTTCATTAGATGTACTCGAAACCACTCCAGATAAAAACATGGATATTGATTTCAACTCCAGAACTGGGAATCAACGCAGTAGTAGTAATTTCTTGGACTGGAAAAAAGGCACCCAGGTGAGTTACGCAGTGCAGTTCGAAAAAGATGGTAAGTATTCTAAAGTTAGTGACTGGACTTCACCACAGGAAATAGTGGATATCGCCAATCCTGATATTGTATTCCGGAAATCGAGCAATATGAATAGATTAGTCTTCCGAAAATTTGGTAATGGTGATGCAGAATTGGCATACATCCTCCCTGGCTCAGAAGTAAGTTTTAGAGACGTCCACAGGGATTTGTATAATTTAGCTTTTAAAAACTCCCTCAGCGAGTCGCAGGTTTCAAGTAACATGGATAGACTCATTAGATTGGGAGCGAATGTTAAGGCAGTGTTTGAGGGTAAACGAACCGTTATTCATGCGGCAGCTATTGCTGGACGATCTGTTATGTTAGGTAAGATATTAGAGAAAGACCGTTCTCTCATTAATAAACCAGATAAATTAGGCTTCACCCCTCTTCACCTAGCTGCTGAAAATAAAAGGACCGCTTTTGCACGATGGCTAATTAATCGTGGAGCAAACGTTAACTTACAAGGACAGGAATATAAAGTGACTCCACTGCATTTGGCTGTGCGTTACCATGCCGAAGAAATTGTAGAAGCCCTGTTGGATAAATCAAATATTAACCCGAATTTAAAAGATGTAGCTGGTCTTACTCCTTTGCACTATGCTGTAACTGATGAAAATTTGAATAAAGAGATTTTCACTTCATTAAAATTAAGTCGGAAAACTGATTTTAATGTAAAGGATAACAATGGATTACCAGTCCTGCATTATGCAACCATACTCAATAGATGGGAAGAGGTCACAGATTTAATTTTTACAGCAGAAAGATGTGATTATTATGCAAAGGATAACCAACAAATGTTAGCTGTTCATTATGATGCAATGAAAGGAAATAAGGTTGACATATTAATATCTGCCATGATGGGGGATGAAAAAGCATCTAAGCTTAATGATGCAGCAGGCGAGAAACATTGGACTCCTTTGCATTACGCCGTATATTTTAAGCATACTGATTGGGTGGAGTATCTGTTTCGGCAGCATGAAAGAGTGGTATCAAAGGTCAATGTAGATGCTAAAGATGTTGATGATCAGACTCCTTTGCACTTAGCTGCTGCGGCTGGATTGAAAGATATTGTTAAAACTCTTCTGGATAATGGAGCAAAAGTTTATGAAAAGACGAAGAAACAAAATACACCTCTTGATCTCGCAGTCATGCATAATAGAAAAGAAGTTATTGATGATTTGCTGACATTTGAAAAAAATCAAAAGTTAAAAAATGGAAAGTCTGCTAAAGAAAATGATACTAAGGCGTGTCAACTAGCAAAGGGGGAGATGTTAAATCTACTAAAGAAGAAGAATCGCTGTGGCAATTTCCGCCGCTCGGTTGAATCGAATTCTAAAACCTCTGCTTGGGGATTCACTCTTACTGGCATGTTTGAAAACAATAATTTAAGACCTTTGTTAACTTCGAATAAATCAAGAGAGAATTTGGAATTCAAAAATATTAAACCTCTGACACAAGTAGATGTAAATGGTGCCTTGCTTTTACTGGATCTTTTCGTACGGAAAGTGACGAACGAAAAATACAATTCTGCAGTGATTGGTTCTGAATCTTTGTTAGATGCACGAGCTCGAGCTTTAAATATCACGGAGAATTTGCAAAAAATTGTGGAAATGGCAGGAAATGATGGGGATCTTTTTGACATTCATTCAAAGATATACAAGGCTATTATGAGCGGAAATGATTACAAACTTGTAAAAGAAGTATGCACTTATTTAAAAGAGTATTCCACTTTGGAACCACATAAAGTTGAAAACTTTATTTCTGCAATGGTTGAAAATAAATCAGTCGGAATTACTAAGAAAGCAATTCAAGGTAACTTGGAAAACTTAGTCGCTCAGGCCTGCTATCGAAATCACTTTTAAATATTTTCGCAATTTAAGGCAGAGCAATTAAAACTGGTTAGTAAAGTAAATAGCCGCCAACAGAAAATTAACGCAATATAAATTTGATTTGAAACATTGCGCTCTCTTTAATTCGTTATCGGTTTATACTCTTCTTAATTGTAACAAAATTTGGTAATATGTATATTTTATTATCATACTCGTATAAAAACACGATAAAGAGAAGGATCATTAGAAATATGAATCTTTCAATTTTGTACATTTTGCTTGAATCAAGACTTTTAAAATCTTGAGCAAAAGCTAAAATAAGAAAATAGCCAGATGATTTACATATCGATACACTATTATTGTTTTCATTTGAAATATTTATTCAATCTCCATTTTGTAGTAGACTTAAGAACAAGAAGGAAAATTTACACAATTCTTTTTTTAAAATTTTGTTCAAATCAAACTTAATGCGGAACATTAAATTTTTACACAAATTAACGCTTAAATTTTACAGCATCCTTTTAATTGCGAATAATAAGGGAGTGTAAATAAAATTTTTAAGCCTTTTATGGACTTTATTTTTAATTTTTTTCACTACGATGAGTACAAAATTTAAAGTAGTACGGTTCAAAGTAAGGAATTCTTTACTCAGAATAAAAGTAAGACGTGATTGATTCGCGTCAGTGTATATTCTATAAAAATATATTCATAAATTATTTTTAAAATATTTCGAAACTATTGAATTGGGCACTTTTAAATGTATTACTTCATATACATAATTACAAAAAAGCCGAAATATTATGCATCATTTATACGTTTGGCTACAACAAAATTTAGTTTCAGTTTTCGTTTCTTAAATCGATTAACTTAATTTTATAAAATAAATATTATATTTTCTTTCCTTTAACACATGGTATCTTTTTTTAAATAATTTTTCTCCTTAGTTTTTTAAAACGTGATCTATGTGGATGATTTTCAAAACAGGAAAACTTTTTTCTCAAAATTCGTAGCTGTAATAATTCGAAGCGCTTATAGTTATGAGTAACCTTTTCGCGGGTCATTGTCAGTTGTTAATGGGATTAAAAAATTATTTAGAATTACTGGCCTTCCAAACAAATGATTCTTTATTAAGAAAATATAAGTTACAGACATCTTATCTGTTTTTGAAACATTTTCTAGACAAAGGAGGACATTATAAGTTGGAAAAAAAACAGTCGGGATGTTTAATACCATAAAAAAAAATATTAATTAATCTGCGAAATTTTCAAAAGAGACTGTTTTAAATAGAAAAAAGATTAATTGCAAATGCATGATTTGATTTTAAAAGCGAAGAAATATTCTCTGATTAACTGAAAATAGTACAGTTAAAGAGTATGTTCAGTAGAAGTTTGAAAATACTCTAATTCATAGGCTTCAAAAGCAAATCTTTGTTGAATGTAAAGTTATCTAAAATAATTGTTTAGTCAGCCAGTATTTGAAAGAAACAGAATTTAAGGTTATCAAAATGTCCGTACTGACTTTCGTTTCAGTTTTTCATGATCATTTTAAAAATCAGAAACATATTTTATTGGAATTTAATGTTGAATTTATATCATAAACAGATATAAGATAACCTGAATTTTTTTAAAAACAAAACAGTGCATGGAAAAATTGAAAACATTCGAGCATTTGGCGAAATCTTTTCTTCTACATAATTTGTTTTAAAGAAATAATGCCATTGAAAAATAATTTTTGTTTAAAAAATCAGTAATAGTTCTAACTGAAAAGCTGGAAGTAAGTCAATTTTCCCCTCTGCAAATTCTTTTGAAGCAAATGAAGTTTTTCTAAATATTAGCTTTTCAGGGGTCACTTCCTGCCAGGGAATCTCTTTATAGGCATTATTAAAAAACAACATTTTAAGTAATTTCCTAACTTAATGATCTTAGGAAGAAAAAAATATTGAAGTATCACAGTTACACCTGATAAAGAGTTTAAGAAATATTCAAGCAAAAGCTCTCATTAAATTAATTTCAGTAACATTAATACAAAAATTTAGGTTGATTGATGTAAAAGAAACATCACTTACTAGGCGTTATCATTTACTAGGTGTTGTTTTCGTTTTCGTTCAAATTTGGAGTTTTAAGCAAAAAGAGAAGAAAAAAACAAGTATCAGTATTAACGAGTTGAACAAAGAGTTTTTAAGAATCATAACAATACTTAGTATTGAGCATGAGTAAAAATATAGAAAATTTATGATTGTTAGTATCTGTACTTCATTATGAAGTGAAAATTGAAACCTGATTTCGGGTTGAAGACAAGAAGTGACCTCTTCAAAAGAATTTGCATCAAATTTATAAAGAAAACAATTCATGCCTGTAGAATAATGCATATTTCGGAATATAATGCATATTTGTATAATGCATATTTCGGAATATAATGCATATTTGTATAATGGAAATTGCTATGGAAAAGCAGTACCTAAAAAATTACAGTGCCGTGTTAGTCATGAAATTCCATAATGCATATTTCAGACTTTATACATTGTGATGATAGAAAAGTATACAAACATTAATAGTTAGTGCTTATTTCTTAAAGAAAATTTGTTCATAAAATAATATTATGCTGAAACTTACTTGTATGATATAAGTTGGAAACCTGAAAATAAGTTCTATTATGAATAATTGGCTTTAATTGCTTTCATGTATAAAATTAATGTATTTTTCATGTACATGGTTTTTTTACTCTTGAATATGTTTATGAAATTATATAAAAGTATAAAAACTCGGAAGATAAATTCATGATAATTTTTTCGTTTGCTCCAGTTTAATGTTGAAAAAATGTCAAGTGAAAGCATTTGTATAAATACTTTCTTAATCTTATGTATATTCTCAATCTTCTGATTTCTTAATCTTTTGACTTTAAAATTATTTTCTCATACTTTAAGAGATTAATGGTAATATTTTTTTCCGGATCTAAGTTAGTTAGCATATATTTATGTATAATGCTATATTCTTGTTTACTATTATGTACTGCTTATTCTGGTTACTATTATATTTATTATATTAAAATACGCAGTGAGGAATAAAGAAATAAATCTAATTGGAATATTCTAATAAAATAATGAGTTTAAATGTTATACTACATAGAAGAACTATAAACATAACTAGTTCTTTTCTACTAGTAGGCAATAAGACTCTATTCCATTCATCAAAATATACAAACTATGTATTTGATGATTAAAATAGATTTTCCGTACTTATACCTTTTTAAAGATTCTAAATGGAAAACCTTATAAACAAATGAATGATTGAATTTTCGATATAACATAATGACTTTAAAAATAATAATAATAAAAGCAATCGAGCTCACTCATGTTCTATTTTCAAGACTGTACAAAAGGAGGGAAAGTAAACCACTCTTTTCAGTACCTATCAAGCAGATTTCTTGTTAAATTTTAACAGCTCATTGGACAGGAGTTGCACCTTTCTTGATAGATCATCTCGAAGTCCATCATATTTTCTGTTCATAAAAGAGCAGATGTGTGATCTAGAATTGCCTTAAAGACAATCTTGCAATATTCACAATGTTGCGAGAGCAGAGCAATGATACAAAATAGCATGGATGACCTTAAAGACCATTTCGACATATTTCATATGTTTTCATCTTGCAAAGAACAGATGACTAATGACCTTGATGATCTTAAACAATATCTTGAAATCTTTCATACATTCTGATATCAAAAGAGAAGATCAGTGATACAACATGGTATTGATCACCTGAAAGACTATCTTAAAATCTTCCATACATTTTGATATTAAAAGAGAAGATCCGTGATACAACATGGCATTGATCACTTTAAAGACTATCTTGAAAACTTCCATACATTTTGATATTGAAAGAGAAGATCCGTGATACAACATGACATTGATCACCTGAAAGACTATATTGAAATCTTCCATACATTCTGATATCTAAAGAGAAGATCAGTGATACATCATGGAATTGATCACCTTAAAGACTATCTTAAAATCTTCCATACATTTTGATATTAAAAGAGAAGATCCGTGATACAACATGGCATTGATCACCTTAAAGACTATCTTGAAAGCTTCCATACATTCCGATATCAAAAGAGAAGATCAGTGATACAACGTGGCATTGATCACCTGAAAGACTATATTGAAATCTTCCCTACATTCTGATATCAAAAGAGAAGATCAGTGATACACCATGGAATTGATCACCTTAAAATCCGTCTTCAAATCTCCGATGCTTTCTGATTTCATAAGAGCAAATAAGTGGTAGAATTGAATTCAATAGAATGAAATTTTTTTTATTTATATATTTCTGTTGATGACAGAAAGTTTCATTGATTCAATGCTTAAAGTTGGTTAATTTATATTTTGATTATTTCTGAAATCCAATCATAATTTCCAGTATGCTGTGATTTTTTTTAAAAAAAAAGACAGCTATTCAGCATATAGTTAGTTGTGATTTTGTAAAATATTTTTAAAAAATGAATGTTAAAAAATAAAGTTTTCCTGTAAAATTTTCTTTATTCGAAAGATTTGGTGGGAAAGAAAAAATTCTTCTGAACTTACAAGATTTCAAAAATAAGAATACGAAAACCTGTGTTTAAGCATGATACCTACTATCATGCAATTATAAGTCTCTATAAATTTATTTGTTTGTTCAAAGGGATTTATAAAGTTCGATCTTGAAATTAAATACAAAATATTCACGTAAAAACGAAGAAATACTGAAATATTAGAGTGAGAAAATGTGAAATTGTGTTATACTCAACTTCTTCGAGAACAACAGCTATAGTTATTGAACATAAACTTTTTTCATCAAGGAAAATGAGTTTTAAAAACAGCGTTTTTAACTTTTTATTCAATTGGACGACGAGTTCCTCAAATGTTACTTAACATGTTATTCCACTAAGTTCTTCAGTTATCATTTTATTATGAAACATGTATAATTTATTATTTAACAAAATGATGCATGTATAACAGAATGCATAATATAGCAGAGTGTATAATGAAACTGGATGTATAATCTCTCAGAATCATGTATGTATAATATAACAGAAAGTATAATGGAACTGGATATATAATCTCACAGAATCATATATGTATAATATAACAGTATGTATAATCAAACATATTGTATAGTAAATATAACAGAATGCACAACGATGCAGAATAATGAATTTTCCTTTTGAAGAATTTGTTAAACCTTTTAATTATTGGTATTATACGTGCTTGGAACATTTTTAATTATTTTAATTTCCCTCAGAAATAATATTTTTAAATCTACTTGACCAAATTTATTACCTTTTAATATTCCAGCATGGTAAAATTAAATAAAAATTAATTGTATCGTTTGTTTTAAAAAGATTTTCTGATTTAAAAAAAGGATTGTAATATGTGATTATACACGGTTTTGGTCCTCAAATCAGATAGTTTTTACTGTATGAATCAATAATAATTTTGTAATTCTTTATAGATATTATAGGAATACTAATATTTCAAAATTTAGTTTTATTGCCTGCCTTAAAATAGGAAAAATATTTTCATTCTCTAACTGATTTTATTTAAAATTAATTAATGTTGTGTCTATATTGCAAATTATTGACTTGATTTCATAATTAAGTGTTGTAAATTGCTGATACTAAATAGTCCAATAAAATTTTTGAGCAGAAAACTATTGTTGCTTGTAAATATGAATCATTAGATTTACAGTTCACTCAAGAAAAATAACATTTAGATCGAGAAGAAGAAGTGATATGAATGCTAAATGATTCAATCCATTACAGTTGCTCTGTAAATACAGGTTACAATAAAACCAAACTAAAATCTGGTAATACAGGCTACCTTTAAATCTATTTTCAGAATCCTTTTTCACAAATTAATATCATATAGATACATTTTCAGAATCCTTTTTGGCAAATTAATATTCATATACATTTTCAGAATCCTTTTTCACAAATTAGTATTCATATATATTATCAGAATCCTTTTGCACAAATTAACATTCATATATATTTTTAGAATCTTGTTGCGCAAATTAGTTTTCATATATATTTTCAGAATCCTTTTTCACAAATTAATATATATTTACTGTTGAATCATTACTGAGAAGTAAAAATTTGTTAAGAATTTTTTTTTGTTTGAGTACTGGAGGATATAAATAGATGTTGCTGACGCACCTTTAAAATACAACCAGCAAGCAAGTTTTATTTTTCAGTTCCCTTGTAATTTTGAACCCAATCCAGAAAACAAGGGAACTTCTGCATCAAGTAAGGCGGGGAGTTTGCTTCGTAGAGGGATTTTTGATGGATCTAACATGCATTTGCGTTCCATGGTGAGGAAAACCTGCCACGGTTAGCCTAATGGCAAGGGGACACTATCTTATGATCCGTCAACCACTGAGGATATTTTTACGTCAGCACTGTAGTCGGTGTTAATTTTGTATCGAGCAGCCATCTCTTGGGTTTGAACCTGGTTCACGTCATAGGAAGGCAAACGCTCTATCCTATAAGCCACCATGGCTAACTTATTTTTAACGAAAAATTTGATAGCTAAGTATTTTTAAAACTATTCGGTACTTTTTGGTGATAGGGACCATGTGTTGGAGACTGTTTTTGTCGCCAATATAAATCATTCTTAGTAACCGAAAATTGTCTAATTTTAATATCGTGATGGACTGTCTGAAAATACTTAAATTGAAAAATATATCGCGATATTTTTCAATTTAGCTTATTATTTTTTTTTTATACATATTTGTCAACATTTTTGTTACCCAAATTAAGCTTAACACTCACAATAATATCGTATTCAGTAATTATCGTTGAGTATAATATTCGAGATAATATTATGGATAATATCTTGACTATTTACGCGAAATTGTCGTGTTTGGGGAGAATTACTGGTGGTTGATGGCCTCTGTTAACCAGAATCTGGCGTCATATTTCCTGCTCATTAATATGTCATTTTTGGCTAAATGCACATTGTTTGGTAATATAGCTAGTGTCGTAATAGAAGCTGTAATGACGATTCGTGGTCCTGTGGTGTAACCACCACTGCAAATATTAAATACTATCTAGTATCTATGATATGTTAACTCGATTCTATCTTGAGGTACCCAAGCCCCGACTTAGTTTAATTGGGGCCCGGGGCAAAAGCTTCTTTGGCCCCCCCTCCACTTCAGTAACGAAGAACCAAACTTTCCGGAGGTATTTAAATTTTTCACCTCATTACAGATAACAGGAAAATTGTCTAGAATTGAATAGCTATAAAGTCCCCCTCCTCACCTCCAATGGTCAGACGAAATATCGCTCTGTCGATTTTATTAATTTTCTGACAATTCTATGTCCATCATGCCAAATGCAGTTTTCTGATTGTTAATTTTGTCATCCAGCTGTGAAGGGGCGGGGCAACTGTCCCGTAAGCCCCTGCCTTAGTCAGGCTCTAGAGATACCTATGGACAGATGATGATTAATGTAGTCGATATTACATAGGTGATCTCTGGACGTGATATGAACGCGCCAACTTCGATGGATGGTCCTCATTGAACAGTTGACTTCCTCACTAAATACCGCTGAAAAATCCGGTGATGTAAGCACAATTCTCCCGGCCAATTACAAGAAATAAATAATAAATATTATGCACCGAAAAATAAATAAATAAACAGCAGTAATCAGCTAGTGGTATTCGGTCAACGAACTCTATCGCAAATGAAATTCTGAAAGAGGAGAAATGTGTCATAACTACAACTACAAAATATTAAGTATTTAATCACTAGTATATAAGACTTTTTAACTTAATTACGTAGCTTTTGTTAGATGAAGGTTAGCATAGTCGATAATTATTTGCACAGTCTTATTACACAGAAAGAAAGCAAACATCTCTAAGTGTATGAAAGAAGAAAGGTTAAATTGAGTGGATATAATCGACTGCCACGCACGGTTACAAAACAATGACTTCATATCACAGATTTTTATATTACTAACTTAGCTGGCAACCAACTAATCGGCCTACATGCATAATGAGTGAAAAAAAAGATAATAAAAAAAAAACAGACCACCATAACTTTTGATCTAATGAACGGATCTTCACCTTCTAGGACTCCATCTTCAAAGATTCGAGGGGGTGACCTCAAATGTGCTAATTAGTACTTGCAGACGATATTTTAGGTTAATCAACAAAGTAATAAATACATAATAATTAATAAAGTTGCAGGTTGACAGCTGAAAATTTGCTCTAATTTAAATAATTTGACGTAATACATAATTGAAATATTTGATTTAATTAAAAAAGAAATAAAATAAGTTATTAAATAAAATTAAATAAAATAAGTAAAATTAAATAAGTTATTTTAAAGTCAGTTTTATTTTCATTGAAATTGGGTTGCGAAGAAATTTTACTTTAAGATGAAGTTTAAAAGTAAGATTTTTTTAGTAATTTTGATTTGGCCCTACATTTTAAGCCTTTAAATTTGACCTTAAGCCACGGCAATTAAATTTGAACTCAAACAAATATTAGACTCATAATATATTATATTCATCCTTTTTAAAATTCTTATAAAACTGTCTATATTTCAAAAAATCATATATGGCTAAAAGTACAGATTATTACAAGAGTTGAAAGTTGCTATACTGCTCTGAACGCAAATATTATTACGTACTCAATATAAAGCAATCGAATGGAGTTAAAATCTAACTCAGGTGTTAAAACAGCCAATGCTACATACTTAATGGAAATACATACCTATCTGACAGACGTAAATCGTAACACGAACAAAGAGTTTTCTATAAATAACAAAATATTTTAATTAAAAAAAGTCCAAGTTAAAAATAACATCATAAAAATTTAATTTTTATACTATTTTGCATTCAACATTTATTCTGTACGATAATTTAATTCTCGATATTTCTTTTCACACCGCACACAATTAAAATTAAGTAATAAAATAAAAATTAAAGCCAAATGACGAAATTAAAAGGAATTCTTTATGCAAATTTTCCTTAAAACTATTATTAAACAAGTTTTTTTTTACACCTATTTTAAAAGTTACGATTATTCATGCTTTTTTTCTTAAATCAATATGTGTCCTTACCTTATTGCAGAATAAGTTATGGCGATGGTTGATAAATATAATCACTAGAGCCCGGATTTTGATGACCTAAGAAATCTCAATTAATGCCCTTAAAAAGTGCAAAAAATGCCCTTACAAACTGTAAAAAATGCCCTCTAAAGTGCAAAAAATGCCCTTAAAATGCGAAAATTGCGCTAAAAATGCCTTATGACATGACTTAAATAGAAGTAAAAATATTGAACTGAAACAATGTTTTACTCTTTAAAATTATTATGAGTCGTTTCTAAAAATATAAAGCAATGCAATACTTGTTCTACGTTCATTAAAGTTTGAAAAATATGTTTTATATCCAAAAAAAAAAAAAAAAAAGGAAAATATATTGACTCCAAAACATTTTCATTTTGTATAGAAACTTAAATGAATATAACAACTTCCATCTCATAATATTACTAAATATCAGAATTACAGTGGATTATTAAATTTTTTTTTAATATTTTGAAATGTAAACGAGCGTCTCTTGTCTGAAAGCAAATTTTTATACCAGGAGAAGCTTCTTTCAACGTCTACTGATGTTATTGGTGCGTACTTGAAAAGGACGGTCACACTTACTGACAATTATTCTTTAATTTGAAAAGATGTTGCTTCACCTTTTAATATCCTAGAGATTTTCTTCATTGTTTGGAAGCCAGTGTAATAATAAAAAATTATAAAAAATAATAAAAATTAGAAAAAAATTAACAAAAAATTTAAAAAATGCTTTAAAATGCAAAATACGCCCCAAAATTTAAAGAAAATGCCCTATAAATCTCAAAAAATGCTCTAAAAGACAAAAAATGTCCAAAAATGCAAAAAATGCAAAAAAATGCAAATGTTATCAAAATCCGGGTCTTAATAATCACTAATAATTCTAATACTTCCTAAACTTTTTTGCATATAAATAGAAATATGAATCATATTTTACTGTCCCATAAAAAATTCGCGCGTCATCTTGCCTAGTATTTTGTTAGAAAATTTTATTTAATTTGAAAATATTTATTATAATAACATGGTGCGTAGCATTTTCAAAGAGTGCTTAAAGGTGCTTATTTTCGATTTTCGTTATTTAAAAGCCCTTAAAGGTATTATTTTCATTGGGTATTTTTAAAAAGTGCTTAATTTTCTCTTTTCGAAAATGAGATTTTTTTCCCGTTACCATGTCGATTTTCGTCACGTACTATGCAAAAGCGTGCTTTTCACATTGTTCTATTCTGCGTTTTCACAATTCATTTCGGCGTACAGTCGGTCCATAGCGTATGAAAGAGACAATCATTTTGCATGTTTGAGGAAATACTTGCGAGTCCGTGAGTGCGTCTAGTCAGCTGAGTTCAGTGAGACTATTGCCTTCTCATGTGCAACTCAGCTGCATTTTCCAAGATATTCTCAACTTCAGTCTTCCTTTTCCACCGTCTGATATCGAACCGAAAAATCTCTCGATCTTTTTACAACGGCTAATATAATCAAGAAAAGAGTTACTTGTCAGAAACGAGTTATTTTCTCATGATCTTCTAAAGTCTTCGAAAATTATTTTCTTAATGTATATAGCGCTTTAAAAGTTTTTTTGAATGCTT